CTACGCCGCCGAGTACGACGAGGAGATGGCCAAGCGCGCCGTCAGCCACGACGGCCGTCGGCCAGCGCCCGCGCCCGCGCGGCGAGGCGCCGGCGCCGGCATGTGCTCGATCGGCGAAGTCAAGTGCTGCAACCAGGTCATCGAGGACCACAGCAAGAAGGAGGCCCTCGCTGGCCTGGCGGGCATCAACGACGTCCTTGCCGGCAACATCGGCCTCAACTGCAACTCGATCCCCATCATTGGCGCCACGATCCAGAACCAGTGCAAGAGCTCGCCCGTGTGCTGCCAGAACGTTACCCAGGACGGCCTCATCAACTTTGGTTGCATCTCGCTCCCGATCAACTAAAAAGTTGACCACCCCCCCTCCTCCCTGTCCTCCTGAAAACGTCGTCTAGCATCCCCGCCCATGCCACCTCACCCCACCCGCCCCAGCCCTTGTCTTGACGTCCGCGCATCTGTCGTGTCAACCGCCCCCCCTTGACTCTTCCTGGTCCGCTCCTCTGTTTCCCTCTTGGCCGTCGATCCCTTGTCTCGCCGCGATCCGCTCTCTCCCACCCCACCGTGGTCGAGTAACCTGTCATCGCCATCCCGTTGGCCCGTCGTGTCCGATACCGCTTGTTAATACCACGCACCGCCGCGCACCCTACGCACGCACCCATCGCCATCTAGGCCCTAAGTCGTATGTCCACTCGTTAAACCCCCCCACGCAGTCGACGGAGCGGAGCGTGAACGGCGGCTGGCCGCGATGCAGGGAGGGGCCTTGACAGCGTGGTTACTGGCTATCGTATTGCTATCACGGCACGGGACGGTCACGGGTGCGGGTCGAGGTCGACGTCGACGGCGGTGTCAAAGACGCGCGAGAGCTCCGAGTCGAGGAGCTCCTTGAGCGTGACCAGCTGGCCCTCCTTGAGCGAGAACCAGGCCCGGTGCGACTCGTCGTAGTCGAACCGTTTCGGGCCGCTGCGTGCGTGGGCCGTGGATGCGATGCTCGACGGTCAGTTTGGCGTGATTCGAATGCGGCTGTGAAGTGGAGCGGGTCGACGCAGCGACGAGCTGGCAACGCACCTCGTTGGACTGCTGAGCCAGATCTGCTTGTTGGGCGGCTGCTTGTTGATGACATACGTGCCGTACGGCCCGAGTCTCAGGTTCATGACGCCCGTCTGTCATTGCGGTCGAGACGGGACGGGGAGAAGGCGGGAGGTAAGTCGATGCGCTGCGATGATGAGAAGGGGCATGGACGGGTGCGGTGGGGGGGCTACTCACGGCGCATTCGACGTCCCATTCGGTGGTGGGTGCGCCGCGCTGCGGGCCGAGCTTGTCGCGGGCGGCGCGTTGCTCGAGGGCGTCAATGTCGCTCTCCTCGATGAGGGCTTCGAAGTGCTCAGTTAGCGAGTCGAGCACGCCGTTCGAGAGCGCGTGGTAGGTCCGTTCGTCTAGGTTGCTGCGAGTGCCCGGGGGACAGAGGTGGGAGGCAGCGTAACACAGCAGGGCAGGTCGAGGGTGTGAGTCTGAGCGGAGCGCAGGTGTTTGTGCAGATGGCCGTAGACGACGGGCTCACCTGATGGTATAGTTTGGTGCATTGCGCCGGTTTGCAGAGTTGGAGAAGCAGCGAGGCGCATCGAGAGACAGGGGACGAGGGGATGGCTTGACACGACGAGGTAACGGAGAGGAGAGGCTGGTGGACATCGAGGCCAGTGTCGCCACAAGACGAGGCTGAGGACGAGCGGATGACGGGCCGGGGCACGGCAAGGCCAGCCGTCTTGGTGCTGCGCGCAGTAGGGATCTGGAGGCCATGATGAGAGTTGTCGATGTTCGAAGAGCGGTACGAGGATGGGGGACGAGGAGGAAAGAAGGCGAAGGATCGGAAGGAACAGGAAGCAAGCCGGGGCCTGTCAGAGGTGGAGGCGAGTCGAGTCGAGTCGAGGTCAATGCCACACCCGGATCCGACTGAGCCGCCGTCTTGCGTCTCTCGGCCGGAGCAGTGATGCTGCCTGACATGGCGTCGGGTGGCAATCGCGGTGGCCAGCCAGCAGGCAGGCCAGGCCAGCCACCGGCCAACCGGACCGGTCAGCAGCGTCAGGGCGGCGCACAGGGCAGCCAAAGCGGCCCACCGGACAACGATGACGAGCGTCACTCTCGGGCCTGCCTCGACGTCGAGTTGCGCCGGCCGCCAATCCCAGACTACTTATACCCGCACCCGCTTCCCCCACCGGCCCACGCCCGCGCAGCCATCACCACGCCATCATCCTCACTGCCACCACGAATCCCACCGCCGCAAATCCGACGATCCGACCCAGCCATGTCTTCTCCCAAGTCCACCAACAAGGTCGCATCGGGCCACCTGTACAAATACTCGTTCACCTCGTCCTCTCTCGGCGGCCTCGAGACCAACATCAACGTCTTTGTCCCCTCGTCGTCGTCGTCGTCGTCGTCGTCGTCCAAGGTGCCTGTGCTCTACTACCTCTCGGGCCTCACCTGCACCGAGGACAATGCGGCGCAAAAGGGCGGCTTCTTCAACGCCGCCGCCGACGCCGGCGTCGCCATCGTCTTTCCCGACACCAGCCCGCGCGGCGCAAAGATTGACGGCGAGGACGACAGCTACGACTTTGGCTCCGGCGCCGGCTTCTACCTCAACGCCACAAAGCAGCCCTGGAGCAAGCACTACAACATGTACGACTACATCACAAAGGAGCTGCCCGCCAAGGTCGACCAGCTCGGACTCGGAATCGTGAGTGCTTCGTGCGACGCGCACAGATGGCGGCGGCGGCGGTGGTGGTGGTGGTGGTAGTGGTCGTGCCGCTGACGGTCTCGTCTGTGCTTGACCCCGCCCTTGTCCCTCCCTCTTCCTCCCGGGCACTCAGGACACGTCGCGCGCCTCAATCTTTGGTCACTCGATGGGCGGCCACGGCGCCCTGACGCTGTACCTGCGCAACCCGGGCCAGTACCGTTCCTGCTCGGCCTTTTCGCCCATCTGCAACCCGACCGCCTGCCCCTGGGGCGAAAAGGCCTTCAAGGGCTACCTCCAGAACCCGGCCGACGAGGCGAGCCAGTACGACGCCACGCTCCTCGTCTCGTCGCTCTCGCCCGCCGAGCGGCCCCTCGACATCCTCATCGACTCGGGCACCGCAGACGACTTTTACAAGCAGAACCAGCTCCTCCCCGAACACTTCCAAAACGCCGTCCGCGAGCGCGGCTACGACGACCAGAGGGTCCAGGTCCGTCTCCAGGACGGATACGACCACAGCTGTGAGTCACCGGGCGCCGTTGCCGGCTCGTCCTGCCCCCCTGCTCTCGTTGCCAACCGCTCATACCTGCCTGTCCCCCTCTCCCTCCCCTGGCGCCCGCTCTCGACTGCCCGCAGACTACTTTATCTCGACGTTTGCGCCCGAGCATATCAAGTGGCACGCCAAGTTCCTCCACAACTGACTAGCCGCCGCTCCGCCACCCGCATCTCGATACTAGCCAGTCTGCACATCCTCTTGTCCTGTAGACCTGGGCGTATAGCCACCGCTGGAACCTCCGAGCATCCCCGCTGCTGCTGCTGCTGCTGCCGTGAACAGAAGACGCTGCCATGCACCTGCTGCTGCTGCTGTGTCGGGACGTATGCCTGTGCCGTCATTGTCAATCCGCGATCAAAGGTGGCACGGCAGGGCAAGGCGAGGCAGAGGAAGGGCAGCAATCACGTCTCTCAAGGTCCTCCCTCATCGCCAAGGCAAAACAATCTCTCCCCCTCGACCCCTTCTATGATGTGAGAGCGAGACGAAACGGCGGGGAAGCAAGGGGAGAGAGAGATGGGAATAGGACGACAAAACGACCCGAGGAGCGAAGATGTCGCTAAGATGGAGGGGTTAAGAGGAAATAGCAAAGGACCCCCAATTGGCGATGGCTTGGCCGGCACGCCGTTGGTGAACGACAAAAAAGGCGGGGGGCAGGAGAAGAAAAAGGGTAAATACACGCAGGAGCCTGGGCTGACAGGGTCGGTGGGAGCCGGTTCTCGAGTCGACGATGGGAAACGCGACGGATGACTTCAAGACGAGGAGGACGTGGGCCGACGAGCGAGGCGGCCCTCGAGCGAGCGCTGCAGAGCGTCCGTGGCAAGCAAAGGCAGAGGTTGACGCATCCGAGCCATGAGCCGGCCGTCTGCCTGCGGCCCGTCTGCCTGGTGATCCAACCATCACCCGATCGATCAAGCGACCGACCGACCGACCTTGTCGCCGGCCTGCGACAGCGCAGGAAACGCTGGTGGGGTGGTTGGATCAGGCCTGTAGAGCGGGGCATGGAGTGCCGGAAGAAGCGGGAATGGCCCGGATGTTCAGCACCACGTCTTAGTTTGCTCGGCTCGGAACGACGGGCGTCGGGCATCGGGCTGCCGCTGCGCCGTCAACAGGCGACACTCACCGAGCTCTCGCGAGCCGCCGCAACCTTTTCAAGGAGCTTGTCCTTGGGGGTCTTGATGCCTTCGCCCTCAATCTTGGCACCCAGCTCCTCGATCTTGTCCTGCGACAGCTTGCTGCTGACCAGCAACGAGGCCATGAAGGGGTAGATGTTGGGGATGTCGATCGATGCGTCCTCGAGGAACTCCATGTGGGGTTCGAAGCCGGCAAAGGCCGTCGCCTCGTCGAGCACGTCCTCGGACGAGAGCTTGGCGAGGAGGGCGGCGACATTGTCGACCGCGTCCTTGTTCTTCTCGAGCGCCGTGCCGACAATCTTGTCGATGAACTCGGAGCGGCGGTTCGACGGCAGCTCCTGAGGGTTGTCGAGTGCAAGTGCGGCGAAAGCAGCGGCGGAAAAAACAGGTACTGGGTCAGCGGGCCATGAAGGTCAAGCGACTCGGCATCGACGGGATGCTGCTGGCATCGCAATCCGGGTCGAGACTCACCTTGTACGCGGCAAGGCCCTCGTTGACGTCCTTGATCTCGAGGAACTCCTTGACGTCGTTGCCAATCTTGCGCTTGGCCTCCTCGTCCGACATCTCGGCCTTGTCTGCCTTGGCCTCGGGCTTGTCGGCCTCGGGCACCGGCTTGGTCCGCGGCAGCAGGTTGAGCTTGGGCCGTTGCGGCTCCTCGGCCGGGGCAGCCGCGCCCTCGTTGTCGCCGCTCTGGTTGAGCAGCGAGAACCTGCGCCGGTGCGAGAGGGGGTTGGGGCAGAATTCGGTGGGCTCGGTCAGCATCTCCGTTGAATGGGCGACTGGCACGATGTTGCGCACTCGCGCTCGCGCTCTCGGCTTCACTCACATGTTGGTCGTCGAGTTGGTCCGTGTTGGTGGCTGGCTGCCGTCCTCGGATCCCTTGTTCTGGTTCTTCTTGGCAAACACGCCGCCCGGACCACCGAACGACAGCGGACGGTTGGAGCCGCCGCGCTCGATCTTGCCGAACGCCGACAGGTCGCCCACCTTGGCGGGGCGAGGCGGGGCCGGTGGCCCTCCGACGGTGCTCCAGCCGTCCGGACCGTGCTCGCCGCGCGCCTGTCCCCTCTTGGACCCG